AAATAAACGTATAGACACGAAGACCAATTTATTCCGAGATTTTGGGAACATATTTTTACTATAATTTATTAGAAGACGTATTGTTTTGTACCATACTTATTACCAGAAATGCCTATATTATAAATGTGTACCTAAAAATAATTTTCTGACAGAACATATTAATATGGTGTATGATTTTTAGTTTAATTTACCACTAAATCAAATTAAAAATTATACGTTATATGAATACAAATACGATATAGTATACGTTCTTATAATATGTGTAATTGTTTAATGTGATATAACAAATATGTAATTATAAAAAAAAAAAACAAATTAAATACTTATAATCGGGCTATATGCTATAGGTATATTATTTTTTAATTTAGCGAATTAACTGATTTATTATTCCAAATGTTTTTACAGAGTTAAATAGGTTAGTTAAAAACAAATACTATATATTATTTTTGTTTATTTGTTTCACAATTCGTCCTTGTACCTAATAACGATGTTATTACTCTATTATTCGTGCAATTAACCGTTAAAGACTTGGACTTCAGCGTTAAAGATTTTTTTTCCTTATAAATCTAACACGTTGACGACTAAACAATTATTTTTTAAGATAATATTATCTTAAAAAAATCTTCAAAAACACGGTCTTCGTCCTAAATGTGTTAATACCGTTTATTAGAATGCACTCAAAGGTCAATAACGAGTATAAGTAATGTAAGCTGCAATCGCTCGTCTAAACTTTAAATACTTACAACTCATAAACTACATACTAGCTTCAAATTCGATTATTATATTAATATCCGTATAATTAATAAACACGTCTCCGGTTCGGTACACTGCTGCTGCAGAGGAGTCGTATTTTTTATCGACTTCGCCTCGATCGGATAGTTTAGTTATTTTCGTTGGCCCTACACAGCAATAATTATCACTGCAATCGTCCGAGTAGAAATTAAAATATTGTTTTCTTCGCCACGAAACTCTAACGACGACGTTCGAATGGCGAGCAGATACGTCTGACATATACAATACAGTTGCCGGCGTATACAATATTGCGTGTTATACAATTATTAGTTATTACTAATAATATATAGTACGTAACAACTATACGGTCTTGGATAGGAGGTGAATAGCAGTCTCGGTAAGAATACACATATACATAATAATATATGATGAGTATAAATTTAGCGATCGGACCGTATTAAATCACAGACGACCGCGGTTGATTAGACAGGCGCCATCGGACCCCACCGTTTTGCCAATTAACGATTTTTATTGGACTTAAACGGCGGCGTGCACGTGGTAATCGCCGCGTCGCGGTTGTCCGGCGTTCGTGATCGTATTATATAATGTAATATTTACAACGTCACAGTGCCAAGTTCCGATGACAACAAATTCCACTTCACGGGGTTCACATTATACAAGGTGTAACAGAAAGACCTGACGAATAAAAAAATGGTTATGATAAGTAAATAATTTAAGAAATATATACTCATGTCGGCAAATTCCCTAAAAAAATATTTTGAAAAAAGTTATTACGTTCCAAATTCATTCAATCGAAAAAATATTGATATTTTAAAAAATTCTAAAAAATAATCTACCTACTTGACTTAGACAAATGTTTTTACCAATTGTTCTTATAATCAGATTCACAAATTTGGCTATTTCGATAATACATCCAACAATATTTAAATCATTTTTTTTATTTTGAGTGTTAAAAAAGCGGGTAAGTGGATGTCACTCTGCTGTACAGTAGGTTACAAGTGGGAGATTGTATAATGGATTGTATTAAACTTGAATTCAATGATATTCTATCATTGTATAAGAAAAACGATTCTGAGCGGAGACGGTTTGTTAGTCTAGATAATTTATATTGTCATTAATTATTATATCATGTAAGTTGAATTAAAAAATAAAATAAAAAAAATAATTTTTTGTATTATATAATATGTGTGGCGGAAGTGACTATGAATTATATATAAAAAAAATTTTAATATTGATCATAACAAAAGTTATTCCAAAAGTCAGTTTTATCAGTTACATCCTGTATATAATTATAATATAATATGTACAATATATTATAATATAGTCGTCGCGAATCCTAACCGTACGAGGAAGTTTCCGTCCGATGAGTATCATGGTAATGGGAGAGGGTAGATAGAGAGAACTTTTCGTAGTGATAAAACCCCTATTTAGCTATATAACTATATATATAGTATACAGAATGATCCATTTAACGTAAGACACTTATTATACGAAAAGCAATTGGTTAAACGATAAAGTGTCTTACGTTTAATGGATCACCCTGTATACATAACCGATTTATTATTACAATATATAGGTACTATACTACTATGCAACAGTGATTTTACATTGTTCATTTTTTCTTTAATTAAAACAATTCGTATTTGAACATCACATAATAATACTATTAATACACCTAATATATACGGCGGTAATCGATCATTAACTACTATTCTTTGACAATTCGATGTAAGTACTTATAGGATGAAAAAAAAATTAAGGCGGCTCTAAACGATTGGATTTTTCATGCATTTAGACCAATAAGCTGGCGAAAAATACACATACTTCTAGTAGTCCAATTTCAATTTTGAATACTTATTTGGATTCGTTAGCATCTTTTCTATGATCTGTAGGAAAAACTTTTTCATCATTTTGTCTAGTTAGCACTTAAAAGTGCCAGTTAAATTTGAGAAATCAAGCAGTCATTTGGAACCGTAATATATACGTAAATTATCTAAAATATCCAAAATCGGTTTCCTACAAATCATAGAAAAGAGGCTGACGAATTCAAATAATTTTTCAAAATTGAAATTGGACTACTAGAAGTATGTGTATTTTTCGCCAGCTTATTAGCATTTTGCACTGTTGTGAGTGTACAAAAATATTTTCCGAGAGTGATTACGTTGACTTGTGCATACAGCATACTACGTGTGCTATTGAACCGTGTGCCCGCAGCCGGGCGATATAAAATCTATTGTTATCGATTTCGAATTTCTTTCGAATTTCACACTAATAATCATTTACGACTAACACATAGATTACGGACGGCGACGACAAGATTAGAAATTGCCTAAATTGTTCCCCTTAAATAATAGCCACTAAGAGCCGCCTTAACATATTTTGATATTGTCGCTGCGATCCTCGAGTGTGCAGCGTGTATGACTATAAAACATCATAATCTCTATAAATCGTACCCAATTTGAACGCTGTGATATTATGTACTAGTAGAAATCGAAAACATTACACAAATTATTATTTCGATGGTTATAAATTATAATGATATCGTATCGGATCGCGTGTACTGCGACGATTCGCGTACAACAAACGCGCGGGTACCTATAATAAATAAAAATGTAATAATACATATCGGAGCTTACGAATATCGTAATAATAAATAATATGCACAGTGACACTTATATAGTGACTGAATCAGACATCCTGCAGTGGCGATTACAACGTCGTCGCTTACAAGGACCTAATGGTTTCGCGGGGCTCGCGTGCGGTTTCCCTCATTGTTCGATAACGAAACATGACATCCGCGAGCACTAGATTTCGCTTTACTAGAGTAAAAATCGAGAAAATCAAAAAAAACATTACACAAATTATTATTTCGATGGTTATAATTTATAACTTATAAATTATAATGATATCGTATCGTATCGTGTGTACTGCGACGATTCGCGTACAACAAACGCGCGGGTACCTGTAATAAATAAAAATGTAATAATACATATCGGAGCTTACGAATATCGTAATAATAAATAATATGCACAGTGACACTTATATAGTGACTGAATCAGACATCCTGCAGTGGCAATTACAACGTCGTCGCTTACAAGGACCTCCTGGTTTCGCGGGGCTCGCGTGCGGTCTCCCGCATTGTTCGACAATATAACATGACATCCGCGAGCACTAGATTTCGCCGGTGCATTAATGCATTATATATACCTATAGTACTGTTGTACCTACTCTGCATATTATTAATTCGATCCATAAATTGTTATTATGATACATATTATACCGTGACCGATATTTTTTTTTAATATTATTGCTGACACGCGGCGTACACGATTTGGAGAGGCTTTTCGCAGCACACTTTTTGCCCAGTGCACAAGTACTGCGAAGTACTTAGATATTATAATATTTCATACCTATGAGTATGAAAAACGCATATATACATATATATATGTACGTTTGTACGTTTTAATAATAAACAATGGCTGGGAAAATGTAATAATGTGACATTATATTTTTATCTATCCACTATCCTGGAAAAAAATTACATACCGAATACCTACATATAAAATAATATAGTTGAATCGATAGTTGCACTTTTCCTATTCTACACGTTCAACATTAATTGCTACACGCTAAAGTCTAACGATTAAAAAAAAAAAGAATTGTTTATGATGATATATATTATTATTTATTCTAATAAAAAAGTTGTTTTTTTAACAACTTGAAACTACAAAAAAAAATATTTTTAAAAACATTAATACTTTTTGAAATAATGAGTGTTTCATGATAAAATAATCACCTTGTATAGTCACTCACATCCAAACATTTATTTGGACAGTTAGAAGTCACTGGGGAATGGAGCAATGAATGACCTACAATTTAATAACCAGTCCAAACAATTCTCCTCTACACTTCCAGAGACCTGGACTCCAAACCATCAAAGTCAAAGAACTCATGGCACAATACCGCAGTAACCATTGGAGCAACCTCCTTGGCTCTTTGAATGAAGACTCCAAATCATATTATGGTACATATTATGATACTGAAAAAGACTACCCATCCACATGATCTCACTAAATAGAACTGAAAACTTAAAGGACATTTTGGACACCCAGGACCTCTTCTATGTTCGAGTCAAAGTAGAACCTTACAAAACTTCCGGACCGACACAGTGTTTCTCTTGTCAACGTTTCGGCCACTCCTCACACCCAGATGTGTAAAATGCGCTGGTGACCATCCGCGACCAAATCATGTGCAAAATCCAAAGAAGAACCGGCAACGGCAACCGCAATGCGAACTTTTCCCCCTTTTACACGGAGCTAAGTAAAACAAAACAAACACAAAAACCAAATCTGCCTACCACACAAGAAATACCTAAGAAAACCAAACCAGATCAGGACAAATCCACTCAAGGAACACCTACTACAATCAAAGCTCTCCAGAACAAATCCACGGAAAAAATACGATCATGGATCATGTGGATCATCATGGATGACCGGTATTTGTCAACGCTTTACTGATCCGTTGATGTAAATATAATATTCAAAGCTTTTAAAATAGAAGAATGTGATTACCAATAACCAATCATGTTATTATTAAATACTAAGGACCACCAGACTCCCAGCGCTTAGTAGCATGCTTGTTTTTATTTTACACATGGAGACATTTTATTAAGAGGGATAGGTGAGTCACCAAAAAAAAAAAGTTTAACTTATTTTATTCAAGCAATTCAATCATAATCACAACAAACGCATAGTAAATTTATTTTCAGTTATATCGAAGAATTATAAGTCGATATATCTTGATATCGTTATTAAGTCTGCAATATATCGAAGGTAAGCGATTTCTTGCAATCTCTACCCAAAACATTGGCAATTGGGCAATTACCTTTGCGTCATACTGTTTAACGGAATAACCAAATATGGAAGCGATAAAATCGCAATACAAAAGGAGGCAAAATAAAATATACAAATAAATAAATAAATAATATAAAAACAGACAAATTTGAAATTTCAACAATTTGGTAAACATTTTTGTTTTATTACATGTTTGCTATAGTTTGGTATTTATATTATCTGCGTGAGGGGCTAAAATATTGTGTCTCTCGAAAATCATAGTGTGTCTCCTGAATGACAAATGTGTGTCAAATGTTAATGTAAAAGGTAAGTGTTATATTATAAAAAAAAGGGGGGAATTTGGTTGTTCAACCCCCACAGGTTTTTTATGCTTTAGAAATCTGTCAAAGCCCATAAGATAACGGTTAAATTAATAAGTGTGTCCCCTGAAATCAGATGTATTTTTAGGCCCCGATTTGCGTGTATAATAATATGTCTCTTAGAGTTGTTTGTGTACCTATACGACAAAATTCATTATAAATACTAACCCGTTGTGTAGTAAAATTAAACGTGCACTCGTTTCGGCGTGTTTTCACACCGGTTTGTATAACAACCACTAAACTTTTTTTAATAGTAGTAATATAATATATGAGCTCTGGCCAGGGTCAGACCGGTACTGATGTTTCAACCAAGCAACATCACGTTAAATAATATCCACACGTGTACACGCATAACAGTATATTATATAATATTGCATATATTTGGTAGGTATATATTGTATTAACCACTGCGGGTTACTGCAGGGTAGGTATGCGTATAATATTAAAATAAAATATCATGGTATATTATTCACGTGACGAAAAATCGAAGTCTGCTGGTTTGCATATTATAACACAATGCCGTGTAATATACACATCATAATGACTACCTACATATATATAATATATATATATATATTATACATATATTATCTAAGGGCGCGTGCTGCAGGCTCTTCGCGACCGATAACGGCGCCGCTCTCGGGGACAGCGAGACCCGCCCGGACGACAAACGACGTCGTTCGCAATTAGCATAATGGCATGTATAATATATATATATCTATTATTATATTATAATATAATATTATTAATTCGTTACTGCGCCGAAAAGATAAAGAACGAGCGGGGGATGCCCTTTCTGCGCAAAGCTCGCGTTGTTGTTCCGGCGGCGGGCCAGAAATGAACGATGGCGACGAAAAGATATAGCTATGCGGTCACAGTTGTTAGAATACCCATACCTACCATGTTATACCTAACCCATACGCCGCAGTACGGTCGTGGTGCTACCACGGTTATTACAGTATTATTATTATTATTATTATTATCACGCTCGGGAGGAGTGGAGATTTTTTTTGATTTTTGAAGGGCCCCCGGGACTGGCTTGTCGCTGCCTAACCAAACAGCGATTTTGATATTTGCTTTCAGAAGGGAGACGGGAGCTGTGTGGCCTCGTGATTTTTAATACCTACATATTTTATATAAACTAAATTCATTTTTCAAACCTTATTACATTAATAGTAAATGGGATAAAAATAAGATAGGATGTCGCTCTGCTGTACAATGGGTCACTGTATAATAGGGATGGTATTACATTTGAGCCACAAGAATTTTTTTGTTAATAATATCGATAACAGTAAAGGTATATGATAGGTATGATGCGCTGTGTCGTATTTTACTCTCTAATTGTGTCACTCGTTCGAACGACTCGGGGGCCAATAAATTAATTTCCATATCGGTTGAAGAAGATAAAAATGATTTTGAAACGAATAGAGTTCGTGAGAATACGATAGGTATATTATACACGTAGTTACGAGCCAGCAGCAGATGACCGACTACTTCTACGTCTCCCCTGAACACGCGATAAGGTCAAACAGAGCTGCAACAAACGTCTGATGACTGATGTGGAGATACAGACGGTTTAACGAGGACGGATTTTTGTATACATATTATCAATGTTTAATATACAAAACAAGCGTTAATATCGTTCAGCTGTTCTCGTCATCGTCAATGGGGCGGAAATTAAACGTAACATTCACATAGTTAAAATATTATATATATTTTTTTTCTATTAAGTGTAGTTATTATATTTTGGTTTCACGTATAATACCACCACGCCACAACCGTCGTCTGTACAGTATACTGTATACAATAATATTATATGCTATATATCTCATAGTGTTTGTCCTCTTATAGGTATGTATATAATATGCACGGGAGTTCAGCAGTTTCCTATACAATATAATTACACTAATTTACCTATATTATCTTGCTTGAACTTTGATATAAAAAATATTTGCAGCGGAGACTAGTTTAAAATCTTAAATAAATTAAATCTGTAACAACCATCGACTAGCTCAGATTTTTGATAACCAAACATTTTATAATTAATAATAAGAATTGTATTAAATCGAACCTATTTAAAAAATATTAATTAGAAAGAAAGTCTCGTTTTGTAGTATAATATTAGCGTATATTATGTTGTGTACTTAAATCTTAAAATATATAGGATTAATCGGTTAATATAGTTTCATAAGAACAATATAATTTACATACAGTAAATACGCACACACAATTTTATCAGTAACAAATTATGAATATCCTAACTAATCTAACCTAACTACCTGAGTAATAAATAAATACAATTTTTACTTATATAATAATTACTTATATACCTACTTTATTTCTTTCCTTTATAGAATACTAATGAAAAATTAAAATTAAGTTATATTTTCAATTCATTATACTTATTCATTAAAAAAAAAAGTTTTTTCTTGCTGTAAGATTTTCTTATGTATTGTTTTAATGTTTAAAGTTCCTGTTTTTCTGTTCTCAATATTAAAAAGTTATTAAAATTAATTCCGTGATTATTATAAATAATTTTGAATTTACCTCGATGCGTACCCAGAGTGGTAACCTGCAGCCTGTTTGAAACCCAACAATTCTCCAAGTTCATCTTTTAAAATGTCGAGTCCCCTCTGACATTTGCCCACCCTTACCCCTAGGTCGTTCCTACGGAACTGTATATAATATGTACATAAAACGTGGTTCCGGACAATATTAATAATACAAAGATGTATAGTATTATAATAGTCATATCGTGTCGCACATCCGATTTTAATTATTAATTACGATTGTTATTTGTACTCGTATGTACCTACGTCAATCGACTACGACTTAATTCTACAGTTGTACACGCGTTAAGTAAAGGTACTGGCCGCGTATGATATTATTATAAATATCATGTCAAGTCACGACTTACACACTAATGTGTGGTACTGCAGTGGTGTTATACGTGTTATTATTATATTATAGAGTCGTAGACCGAATGGCGTGTGCGTCGTTCGAGATCACGAAAAACGAATCAATTGAGTGTGCAATGCGTAATAATAATAATAATAACCACTCGAATTTGGACGGGCTAGTGGACAATACGTATATAGGTGTAGTACAATGTAGTGCACAAGGTACTCTATGTACACACGGAGCTATATTATAGGTGTACCTACTGGCGCAGACATTATCGCAGACACGTCGGAACCGATCAACAGCTCTGAGTACGCACTCATGCCTTATTTAATATGTTTTTAATAATAATGTATCGTTGCTATATTAAATTTAATAATATAATATTTTCGTGCTAACGCGATTACGATTGCAGCAAAACCTATGTACACGCTTCACGGTGCACGCGTTTTTTTTACCTTATTTTTTGGCCCCGCACGATTTTCGTTTTCTATTTTTTTTTTTTATCTATTATTATATTATTTTTCTGTTCTCTTCTTGAGTGCGATGATAGCAATAAGTACGTATAGGTACCTAACCATTATTAATATAATGCATGTACGATGACTTCCGCGCACGTCGACGTCGAGTGCCGTAGAACAGTTCGATAGCACCTCACTGCCGAGTCGGAGAGGTGGTTTCCTTCACGTCGTGCTGACCTAAAAAATAAAATCCAAAAATCGATTAGAATCGCTTATTATATAAAATACATTATGCTCAATTATACATATTATTATTGCATACTATTTGTGCACGTACGCCGCCAACGCGTAGCGACTTGTTTAATATAAGTAAGTATAGATATAATATACTGGGTGATTCTTTTATCAAACAACACTCATTATTTCAAAAAGTGTAAATTTTTTTGAAGATATTTTTTTACATAGTTTCAAGTCGCTTATAAAACAACGTTTTTATTAAAAAATTATATTTTTAATTATTTTTTATCCTTATAATTTTTTAAGTTTTTTACTTTTTTGAACGACAACATAGAGTTTTAATTTTATATTCTAAAGTAGAATATTTTTCTTAGTATTTTGATACATGAAAATTGAATTTGGGGCGAGTAGTTTATGAGTTATAAGTATTTAAAGTTTAGACGAGCGGAGTGGAGTGGTTCGGGGTTACCCCGCGGAATGTTTGTCCACTTCACCGCTCGTCTAAACTTTAAATACTTATAACTCATAAACTACTCGCCCCACATTCAATTTTCATGTATCAAAATACTAAGAAAAATATTCTACTTTAGAATATAAAATTAAAACCCTATGTTGTTATTCAAAAAAGTAAAAAACTTAAAAAATTATAAGGATAAAAAATAATTAAAAATATAATTTTTTAATAAAAACGTTGTTTTATAAGCGA